GATTACTCTCGTTATGGTTACCTTTATCTCATTCATGAAAAGTCCCAATCAATAGACGTGTTCAAATCTTATAAGGCCGAAGTTGAAAATCAATTAGGCAAAAGAATAAAAACCGTTAGATCTGACCGTGGTGGTGAATACTATGGTAGATATGATGGTTCCGGTGAACAACGTCCAGGGCCATTTGCTAAATACCTAGAGGAATGCGGAATTGATCCTCAGTACACCATGCCAGGAACTCCTAGCATGAATGGTGTTGCTGAGAGACGAAACCGTACATTGAAGGACATGGTTAGGAGTATGATTTGTCATACTACTTTACCCGATTCACTCTGGGGAGAGGCACTGAAAACTGCAGCTTACATACTTAACAGAGTTCCCACTAAAGCTACAACTAAAACCCCTTATGAAATTTGGACTGGAAAGAAACCCAGTATAAATCATTTCCATGTTTGGGGTTGTCCAGCTGAGGCAAGGTCTTATAGGCCAAATGAAAAGAAACTGGACTCAAGAACAGTTAGTAGCTATTTTGTAGGATACTCTGAGAGGTCAAGGGGGTATAAATTTTACGATCCCACTACCAGGACTATTTTTGAGACGGGTAATGCCCGGTTCTTTGAGGATATTGAGTTTGGGGGGTGGGGAGATAAGGTTAGAGATTTTGTCTTTGAGGAAGAACATGTTACTCTTCCTTCAGTTGTCATTGAACATGATCAAGATATGTTTATTCCTAATGATGTTCAAGAAACAACTCCAGTTCATGACAATCTCGAAAACATCCCCAATCAAGTACCTGAATTTGTTAATGAGGATCAAACTCAACAACCTCAAGAACCTGAGGTGCCATTAAGGAGATCCACTCGAGAGAGGAGAAGCGCAATTCCGGATGATTATATTGTATTTCTCCTAGAACATGAGGAAAATTGGGAATTGGTGGAAGAAATAATTGTCTTCCTCCAAGAACAAGAATCAAATGTTGGTTTTGCGGAAGATGATCCAATCAACTTCCGTCAAGCCATGGAAAGTTCTAACTCTCAAGAATGGATTAATGCCATGAAAGATGAGATGAAGTCTATGAGTGACAATGACGTTTGGGAGATAGTCTCATTGCCTGAAGGTATTAAACTCATTGGTTGTAAATGGATATTTAAAATCAAGAGGGATTCAAAGGGCAATGTTACAAGGTTTAAAGCTCGTCTTGTTGCTAAAGGCTACACTCAAAAGAAAGGAATTGACTATAAAGAGTCTTTCTCTCCGGTATCCTCGAAAGACTCTTTTAGAACAATAATGACATTAGTGGCACATTTTGATCTTGAGCTTCATCAGATGGATGTAAAAACTGCGTTTCTCAATGGTGACATTGAGGAATCAATCTATATGGAGCAACCAGAAAACTTTGTTTCGGGGGATTCAAAGAAAATGGTTTGCAAATTAAAGAAATCCATCTATGGGCTCAAACAGGCTTCTCGTCAGTGGTATCACAAGTTTCATAAAATCATTATATCTTTTGGTTTTCAACCAAATGTCAGTGATGATTGTATATACCACAAGTTCAGTGGGAGTAAGCATATTTTCCTGGTCTTGTATGTTGATGACATACTGCTTGCTACTAACGATATAGGCTTATTACACGAAACTAAGAGATTTCTTTCAAAGAATTTTGAAATGAAAGATCTTGGTGAGGCTTCTTTTGTATTAGGAATTCAAATTCACCGAGATCGCTCCAAAGGCGTTCTTGGACTCTCACAAAAGAGCTATATCGATAAGGTTCTCAAAAGGTTTGGTATGCAAGACTGCAAACCAGGAGATACCCCAGTTTCTAAGGGAGACAAGTTTAGTCTCATGCTGTGCCCTAAGAATGGTTTTGAATCTAAAGAAATGAGGAACATTCCTTATGCTTCGGCTGTAGGAAGTTTGATGTATGCCCAGGTTTGTACAAGGCCTGATTTGGCATACATTGTTGGGATGTTAGGCAGATATTTGAGAAATCCGGGAATGGACCATTGGAAAGCAGCCAAAAGGGTCATGCGGTATTTACAGAGAACAAAGGAATATATGCTCACATATCGGAGATCGGATGAGCTTGAGATCATTGGGTATACCGACTCTGATTTTGCTGGATGTCAAGATAGCTTGAGATCCACTTCAGGCTACATCTATATTCTAGCTGGAGGAGCTATCTCCTGGAGGAGTATCAAGCAGACTCTTACAACTACTTCCACCATGGAAGCAGAGTTTATAGCATGTTATGAGGCATCCAATCAGGCATTATGGCTGCGAGATTTTATTAGTGGACTACGCATAGTGGACAACATTGAAAGACCACTCAAGCTATTGTGTGACAATAGATCAGCAGTCCTCTATGCTAAAAATAACAGTAGTTTGACCAAGGCAAAACACATTGGGGTCAAATTTAAGGCTGTTAAGGAACGAGTACAAGAAGGAAAGTTATCTATAGAGCACATTAGCACAAACTCCATGATTGCGGATCCGCTCACTAAAGGATTACCACCCAAATTGTTTCATGAGCATGTTGCTCAAATGGGTGTCAAATCAGTTGAGGATTATGAGTTTTAGTGGGAGTTTGTAATGTTTCTATGTTTGGTTAACTCAAGTTTTAATGTTATTTTCTGCAGAAATAAAGTTTAAAGTTTTATGTACTCTTACAGTTATATTATTGATCTCAGGGTGGACCAGTTGGAAATAGACATTCCATTCCAGACCACACTATATGTTATTTCCACGCTACACACCTATACTTGATCCATGTCGTTTATTATATTAATATATGTGATCATCGATGGGTCTAGTTATTCAAATATAGCAAAGACTTCTTTGGTCCTATGTTGATATAATTAATGGACCGGATTGATTAAGGATGACTACAGTTTGATAGCAATAATTTGGAGCTCCTAAAGTAAACATACAATTCTAAGGATTGTGTATTCATGTGTATGTCGTCCAAGTGGGAGATTGTTAGATTATTGGACTTAGACTACATGTAATATTCACAATATATTATTTATCGGGTTTAATTGTATGTTATATGCTATCTTATATTTAGGCCCAAAAATTAGTGGTCCTATGAATATTAATTTAAGTGGGCTAATAAGTTATCTAATAAGGTATAGGGCCCAAATGTGTAGAGACCCATGGGCTTGACCTAATCAATGATGGGCTGATTAGGGTTAAGCACTCTATAAATAAGGGGTTATGGTCCCTAGTTGTACACGTCATTCTGTCTTTCTGCATCCCATCGCTAGAGAGATAATCCCGAGGGTGTGTATCAACTAGAAGACGCAAACCCTAGCCTCCGTCTCCCGGATCTCTAAAGGTCATCTCCCATGGAGTCAGGTACGCTTCCGCTCAGTTAATTCTCTAGATAATTTCAATATGAAGAATAAAGTATTCATGGATTTATTCCAACAATTGGTATCAGAGCCTCCTTCATATTGAATTATTTGGAGTATTCATACTTTTATTTCAATCTTAAACGATTGAATTTCGGATATTTCTTTTGTCATATGATCTGCCGATTAAGTGGAATCATGGTAATGCAATTTTGCTTTTATGCAATTAGTTCTTAATGATTAATCAGCGGTCGATGATTAAATAGAAATCAAGCATGTTGATTTTCTGTGGTTGCTGCCGATTTTTTGTCAGCGGCATAATGAAGTTGATTTTGGTTTCTTTACCTTAATTTTTAGTCTGATTTGCACAGTTACGGTTTGAGTTGTTTGCGTTTTCTTTTATTATCAAATTGTGATTCTATTGCCACTCACATGTTTGTGATTGAACAAAATATCGTTTGTTCCTTGTGTCATTGGGTTTTACGGAATAATCAAGTAGTCAATTGAATTACTTTTGAACAAAATATCGTTTGTTCCTTGTACGAAAAGAATGTATGTTTAGTTTTGACCAATATTTTAATTATTATTGAGCTTTACTAAAATTTATACACTAAAATTGTTTGGAAATGTCAAGTAATGGAAAATAACTTGAAACAAATTAGGGGGGAAATCGCAATTTCTATCACTCAAATAGTACTCACATTGAAATATAATCATATATTTTTTGAGTGGATAAATGAAATCCCTTAATTTTCTGAATTATTGTAAATGTGACTCCCGTCGTTAAATCTAAACTAACAGCACAAAATTTTGTAACTTTCGACACAGTTAAGGACATAGCGTTATAATAACTGTGCGTTATAATAACTGCAAACGCTAAAAACGGTCTTTTCCATTAATATTACTAATTAAAATTCAAAAGACAAAAATATGACGTATTTTAAAATTTTTACATAAAAATGACATATTTAGTAACTAGTTCATAATAGTGATGGACCCGGGCCGGTCCGGTTCCGGTTGCAGGCCGGGCCCGGGCGGGCTTTTTTTGCAATTACTTGGGCCCGGAACCGGCACAAGTTGATACCGGGTCCGGGCCTAACCGGGCCGGACCGGACCCGATTCCATGTTAATTTTTTTTTTTGCCTTGTTATCCCCTGACCCCCTACCCCCCAAACCTCCCCAAAACACCCAACCCTACCCTAGGAAAAGAAAAAAATTGAAAAAAAAATTGAAACGGGCCCAGCCCAAACCGCCCGAGACAGTTCAACAAAAGTTGGGCCCGAGCCCAGCCCTCCCGACCCACCCAAACTGGCTAAAAGCCCAGAACCGGCCAACCGGTCCAGTCCGGTCCTGGCCCGCACAGTAGCGGTCCGAGCCGGTTCCGAGCCAGCCCGGTTTAGTCCATCCCTAGTTCATAATGACTCACCATATACAGTGACTTCATTCTATAAAATACACTAGTGACTAGTTCACAGTAATTCGTACATAGTGACTAGTCATATTTTTGTCCGGGGATGTAACTAGTTCATAGTGACTAGTCAAAATTCGTACATAGTGACTAGTCATAATTCGTACATAGTTCAAAAATATAACTAGTCAAATTTTTGTCCGGGGAAACTTTATTAGTAATATTCATGTCATTTTTTCCTTAAAAAATGCATTAATCTCATTTTATTGTCCTTAGCGCATTTTTTGAAAGTAAACCAAAACATAAAAACATACTTTCTTCTATTGCCTTTTTTCTCTAGTATTTTTGGGGATCCAATCATGCCCAAGGTTCAAAATCTAAGATAGATATCATACAGTCATCGTACAGGAGTACACAGTTTCACCAAAAAGCAAGAAAGCCAAAATAAGAATGACTTGGGGGTAATCTTTTATTTGATGATGGAAATATATAGCACTCAATCAGCCTCCAGAATTGGGAGCACAATCCGCAGGATCATCATTCCTTGTATTTGCTGCTATCACACAAAAGCACGCAATCCTTCATTGTCTCACATAAAATCATAGTCGTCATAACCATCATATGCATTGACTACAGCTTCATCATCTGCTCGATCAACAAGCAGCTGCTTCTTCTTTCCACCTGTTTTGCAGAAGGAAAAACGAAAAATCAAACTAACTTCTTTTAAGCTTTATTATTATAAGGTCCATTTGGTTACTCAAAAAAAAAAAGAATGACACTCCATTCCTAAGGGCCCCCAGAACCGACCAGACAGTTATAGTTATCTAGGAGGATGTAAATTGAGCTTTGATCTCACTCCGATGGAAAGAGAGTGGGGTCGTATCCCAAGTCATTGCTTGGAGTTGAACCCGATATCTCTCCCTTGTGGCACCCCCTTCCTAACAGGTGAGCTAGGCCCTCCGATAAGTTATGTACTACTCAAAAAGTAGTACTACTTTTAAGTAACTTTTTGGTAAGTTACTCAAAAAGTAACTTATGTACTACTTTTTCCATCAGCCCATTTAGTCAGCGCACTTAAGTAAACACTTCATAACCTGGTAGGTATGACAACCAAACACACACTAAATCTGAATTTGAAGGCAAAAAGTCTATTTTGTTTGGTGAAGCAATACCTGTCTTCTTTTTTCCAGCATTGGCTTCTTTTTCGGATTTGATTTTTTCATTTGCAATTGCAGTAACTGAAGATGCCAGTTCTTTAGCATCTTGCCCCTTCAATGATGTCATTGCCAGTCTCATTACATCCTTGAGTAACCCAATGTAGAAGTAGCTTTTCTGCGTACAGAAATGACAGCACATCCATAATTCCAGATACAGCATATATAAAATAAAATCCACCATTGTACTTCACATTTGGCAAACCTCATAAGGCCGTAACTTATGAGAAATGAGCTCTGCGTATTCGACAAAGTCACTTTCGCTTTTGGGAATGAAATTTTCAAGGGTCTTCTCATCACCTTTCTTAGCAAACAATTCTGCTGTTGACTTATAATCAGCTTCTTCTACTAACCTGTGAAATAAGAAGATACTATGGTTCATGAAGCACTAAACATACAGGGAAACACCAGCAGCTGTATATGAATAATTGAGTTCTAGCTTGTGGGGTGTTTGAAGAAAAAGGGAGAACTTGACCCTTTAAGCATTATATTTTCATGAATGACGCTTATAGAACTGAAACATCATACCATAGATCTCTGCAGAGGGGATATCTGGAAAAAAGTTGAGTAATTTACTACAAGACACTCAATCTACAATATACTCCCTCCAGTCCCAAAACAACTTCACACTCCTTTTTGGGTAGGTCCAAAATAAACTTCACACTTCTATTTTGGCAACTTTTCAACATAAAGTTACCCTTATACCCTTACTTTATTACCTACTTTACATTCACTTTCTCTCTCCCACTACACTTTATCTACTTTATTGGGGGCATAATAACCGTGAAGTCAAACCGTGAAGTTCTTTTGGGACAGGAGGGAGTAGTCCCTAAAGTAAATATAAATGACAATTTAACCATATAAATAGTCATGGATGATACATATAGCATTGAAACATCATAGAATATATAGATATTATCCAGAATTGTGGGTTTCCCAAAGGTATTTATATTTTTATTGTACCTTAAAAAGTTGCAAGTAATTTAGTCCAAAACACTCAATTTCTACTAATATCGAAATAATATTCTATAGTATTTCAATTTCATTTACGAAAATATTTAATGATTAAGTGGTGTATTTGTCAATTTCCAAAAACCTCAAGGATTATATGGTAATTTCACTAAACCTATTGATTGGTGGATGTAATTGATTCAAAGATTGAAAATAGATAGGACACATTATTGTTGTAATCTCCTCAATTACACAAGTCCATCCTTTTAAATTTTAGTGAAAGATACTTCTGTCATTTTAAGAATAGTACAAACTACAAAGCATCAAGGCTTTATCTTAGAAAAACATTTTCTCTTATCTTTCTTTCCACTTTCTGCATTCTAAACGACACTATTAATACACTTAATTGCACCTATTTCTTTCTTCCTGCTGTCATTCTCAATGTACCTTCTAAACATAACAAAACATCAAAGAATCTCTATGAAGCATGGAAACTCTCGGGAAATAGTTTGTTTCCACTTCGGAAACTCTTACGAAACTCTCCATAGTCCAAGCAATTGTTTTCTATTAGAAGATGATATTTCTCATTTCATGTTTTCCACAATTCCGTGAAACATAGAAGAATTTAGAATGAAAGGTAAGATTAGCAAAAATATAACACATGTATCATGTGCACAAATTTGTTACCTCTGCTGGCGTAGTTTCTCAGCTACTGGATCTAAAGGCTCCTCTTGTGCAATTTTAACCGCTTTCCCTTTTGCTTCAGTTGCTTTGGCGGCAGACTTCTTTGAAGCCTTTTCAGCAGGAGCCACAGGTTGAGGTGCCTGATTAGATTAATATGATCATGGTTTAAATAACATAGATGTATGAAACTTAAATATTTATAAATCAGAAGATGAGAGTGACTTACTGGAGTAGGATCTTCATCCTCCTCTTCCCAAGAGTCTTTAATGTCATTTTCATCAACATCCTCATCATCCCATTTATTCAGGGGTTGCACCTTTTTTAGAATTTCTGGAATAAGCACTTCATCCTCTGACGAATAAAATGGCGTTAGAACGTTCCAGAAACAAGTTCAGTTCACAAGCTAATTGGAAACCCATTTTTGCCTCATTTTTTGGTACTCTATCTACGGTTTAACCCAGTTTGACAATAAATACTACTTCACTTCTGCATTTGAAAAAAATAGTAAATGTGGATACTAAAATACAAAAAAAAAAGGTTTAGACTTTAGATCACAATCTATTGGGAAAGTTATTTTCCAATAGTGACTTGATGTGTTACTTAGAGAGAGATGAGTAGAAAGAATGACCTAGATGTGGTGTGTACAGAGAGATGACTATAAAGAGTGTCCTAGTAATCATAGACTCATAAATCATCATATTTTATGGTTTAACCCAATTTGAAAGAAAAAACCGTTTTGGTTTTGCTTTGAAAAAAATGAACAACAATACATGATAGAGTGATGATAGTAACTAACATACTATGTTAAAGATATCAAAGTCTCACTGAGTATTTAGTATTTTCTTTACCTGTTTACTCCCACCCAAGGTAGTCAAAGTCGAGCGCCTGGGCGCTTAAGCGCACCAGGCGCAGCGCACAGAAGCCCCAGCGCTTGAAGAACGATCAGGCGCACCCAACTGCCTAAGGCGCAGCTTAGACGCAAAAGCGCTGAAGCGCAACTGCGATAAAAAGCGCTAGCTATTTGCGCCTGATTGGGGAACACGTTTTTTAAAGTTTAACTATATAAGAAGGATGCAGTTCAGACATGTCGTCAGATAAGAAGCCCATATTTTTAATATGGCCTGTCTAAATAAGGTCAACACAACATATACCTATGCTAAATAACAAACTGTAAACCTGTTCTGCTCTATTCAAGTTACCTGTTCGCTCCCCCTGTCCTCCACATCAACTGCAGAAGTTGGCAGCAGTAAGCTTTCTTCTCCATCATTCCATTTTTTTTTCTTTTTTCAGTATCTACTTCTTCTTATATACTCTATACAACTTAAATATATATATATGTAAACTACCAGTATAATGGTCTATCATGTGCATTAACACTCTTCATTGTGCCATTTCTTTCTTCTTTACTTTTTCAGCATCCTTCTTATATAGTTTATACTCTATTACTCTAGATACCTAAAATCTAATTATGTTTTATTTTTCCGTTTGAAAGTTTAGACTTTAAGTTATGGATTCTAAATTTGGTTGTTTTGCTTTTGTGAATCATGACCTTATTTTGGTTAATCATGACTTTATTTTGATGAAACGTGACTTTATTTGTGAGAAACCTGACCTTTTTATGTAGTTAGTTCAATATGGTGTTATATACATCATGTTTTATTATTGAAGAATAGTATGTGATACTTTCTAAGCAATGCACCTGACATGAGTCAGGCGAGCGCTTTTTTGCGCCTTGCGTCTCAGGCGCTGGGATTACCCTATCACCTTGAGTGCGCCTTACGACTTTGACTACCTTGCTCCCACCTAGCTAACTAGCTCCATTTATCTTACAAGGCATACATCTTTTGGCATTTTGAATCTCAATTCTTGTGGTACATTACTAAAGTTGAATTTATAATGAAACAATATGTCACATTTGGTTAATTTGACCAAAAAACAGAATAAATAACAGCATCACGTCAATTGATCAATAAACATAGAATTATGGAAAACTAGATAATGGTGTGTGTAACGGAAAGCACACACGACACACCTTTTCCAGTATACCAATTTTTTAATAGATAAAATTCGAGAACTAATTTTTTTTCTAAATTTGAAAATAATACTTTTGAGTGTGTTCTCGGCCATAAGAAACTCTAGAAAAACAGAAACTAGGGTGCTATAATGGCGTGTTGTTTTTATTTGCAAACTGGAAAACAATTTTAAGAAACGGAAGATTGATAACATGTTAACTTATAGAAGCAAACAAATTAGATTCCTGATATTTAAGGATAGGAGTGTTCTAAGAATTAAGGAGCTCTTAAGATCATTTGCAATACACAATAAACTACATCTAGAATCAGTTTGGGAAGTTTTATTCAGGGTTCATCCATTAATTTCATTATTGAATATAGGATAGTTTCGTCTGAAATATCCTACAATCTATTTAAGTAAACTGTAAAAGGAGTGTAGAAGTTCTAAATAGCATGTGTAGATCACTTGTTAAATAATTATACTGAAGAAGTATCAGTTTGCAAAAGTTATACAATGTAGGATATAACTTGATCCCCAAAGGGGTTAGAGAACTAATGATTAGTTGGTTCAGGAGTTCGTGACATGCATGTGCAAAGGTGAAAACACCTTAAACTCAGAGTCTTATAATTGGTCTTCATATTGAAAAACAAAAAGTTCAACACTTTTCATAAGTGATACAATTCATCCCTTTTTGCGATAAGTAAGAAACTGAATCTACAAATAAGCGCAAATACTTAAGCGATAAAATTAACACAGGGTTATGAGTATAATTGTGGTAGTAAAGAGTAACGTACCCCACGTTTCCATCTCTTTTTTCTTCTTTATAGTTCACCAACAGTTGCAGCTTACTATCTGTGTTTTCAGATTAAAGGGAGCAAGTCTTCCTTATTATCACCTACCAACCAAACAACATAGAAATTCTATGATAGAATTTTTAAAGATCAACATCCGCATAAAGGCGATAACTTTCTACAAGGAGGCGTCATTATTGTATAAAATCCCAGGAAGAAACAACTGTACAATCCCAAATCAAAACTATTGTTTTAGTTTAGGAATATTTGATAAAGGTTGGAAGTTTAAGTAGCGAAGACCGGAGACGAGGCGTAGAACACAAAATACCTGGATTTGGAAGCAGAGTGAACCGTAATTTAGGAAGCAACACAAGGGATCAAGGGAAATCGTGGACTGCCACTAGGGTTGTAGTATTATAATAGAATGATTTGGAGTTACGCGAGTAAGGTAGAATGTAAATTTGGGCCCATGTCTTAACCCGGCCCAAATATGTGTTATAAATACTACCTCCATAACATTCATATTTTCTCATTTAAAAGTTTGTGCGATTACAAATAGTGAAAGAAAATATAAATTGTTGAAGATAAAATGGGGAGATAGTGAAATAGTATACTGGAATGGAGGATAAGTCCAAAGAAAGTAGTTGTAATAGTGTATTATTTTCAAAATTATTGAGATTATGATTGGAAGATTAAGAAATGGGAAGATATGAATGTTACGGTTGAAAAAGAAAAATGAGAAGATATGAATGTTATGTAGGAAGTATTACGTAATACTCACTCTTTCACGCTAAGATTGTCCCATCTTTCTTTTTAGTCCATCCCACTAAGAAGTCTCATACCAAATTTAGCGTAATTTGTGTGCTTTTAGATCATTCGTATTTTATTGTTACTATATTAATTCAATATAACCACATAAATTCACTTTTCTTAATAATCATATCACTTCCTCATGTTCCATTGTTAGTGGGGCGGAGGTACTAATTATTTCCTTTCTCATTCATCCTAAAATTATCATTCATTGCATAGAGTAATATACATAATATAATACTCTCTCTATTATGAAAAGTTATATATCATATGGAGTACTATTTCTATTTCTTCCTATCGTCTTCTCCGATCAAAATGTTCTATACTAAGTACTTTTTGAGAGTATATTTGCCAACTATTTATATCTCATAATCATTATTTCTTTTACAATAAATAATTATAAGGAGTGTTTGCTAAGCGCGCTAGAAGTTAGTTCAAACTTTTAATGGATTTCATTTTTGTGTCATGTGTGCTTTTACATTGTTTGATAAATAGCTTTAATTATTACTACGTATTATTTTGTTTGGAGAAAACATAGTTCAGTAAAAGAGTAATAAAGAATGAAAGATAAGTGCAAGCCACACAGCCTGAGACATTCATTCAGTATAGAATGAAAGACTCCACTAGCTAGCTAAACTAGCAATTTATTTTCTAAAATTAACATAAAGAAAAATCTTATTTTCACTTATAAAGAGATCGGATTTATGCACCCCCTCTGAATTGCACAAGAAATCGTCGTGTTTTGCATGCTTATACCATTATAAAATTCATCAAATACTAGTAAAAAAGTTGTTGATTTCACCACTTTCAAAATGTTTATAAGACTTCATTTCACAATTAACTACCTTAAAAAGGATTTCACCATTTTCACCACTTAAAAATAAGGCTGAGCCTCTGGTGCATACGGGTGTATGGGCCTACTGCCATTCTGCTGACTGAATCATCGTGACTAACCTCCCCACCATCCTGTCGGGTCGGGGTGGGGGGCTCCTGGGGTGGGAGATTCCACCTTTTTGGAACAATAGCTACCTTAAGAAGGTGTCCACTTCTGACACCAACAACTAAGGCTGAGCACGGATGTGAGATTTCCCGCTTCGTACTGAGAACCGTCCCGAACTGTATCAGAACCGAACGAAATCGGGAAAATATAATACCGCACCGTACTGTACCGAACATTTTTAATACTATGGTACAGTACCGGTTCTTAAGTGAGAACCGTCCCCGAACCGTATAAAACCGAACTGTCCCGAACTGTCCCGTATCGTCCCGAAAAATTGGCTATATAAATTAATATATACTACGTATATTATATTATATATAAAAATGTATGACATTTTGAAGAACCGAGCTTTACACAAATGTTATATTATATTATATTACATTTGTCATGTGAACACATACCTTTTATTTTTTGAGTTTGACTATCACTTTCAATTTTAGTTGAATGTTACCTTTCTTTATTATAGTTTTGACTATTACTTTAGTATTTCAGTTATGTTTGATTTTAATCTTGCGGTACGTCTACTTAACTTTCCATATTGCATTTTGAGTCTAATAGTATTCAACTCTCTCTTCTCTATAGAGAGAGAGAGAGAGGAACCCTAGCAGCCGTCTCCGCTCTTTGTAGGGGTTGAGATTTTCCGCCGCCCCTATCAATATGGGGTTGAAGCGACAGATTATACCGATTTTAAGTGTTCTAACACTTGGGATTGCAACTACGTCGAAGGAAATAGGGTTGGCGGATGAACGAGGTGCGACTGAGAGGTTGTACCGAGTCTGGATCGTGAAGCCTTGGTCAGTCATTCCGAAGGTGGTGGAGTTGGTATTCACCCATATTGCAAGCTAAGAACTCGTCCTCCTCCGGAACCACCTTCATACCAGGAAGAGCTTTGTGGAAAGATTTTATTTCAGTATTATTTTCTCTTTAGTTGCAATTGTTTCTGTTTTAGTCCGAGAGGATTTGGTTTGAATGTTTGGAGTTTAAGAGCTCTTTTGATAGATAGGGTTTCGGTTCTAGTCGTTTTAGGCCTAAATTTGCCCGTTTCAGGTTTGGAGAGTCATGTTGCTTTGTATGAGGTGGCTGACTCTACGTCTATTCCTAGGGTTCACGATTGGATCTGTAAATGCTATCTGAAGGTTGTCTTGTATGTGTTCTCGATTTTAGTATAATGGCTGCTCTTTTATGATAAAAAATATCTTGCAGTACGTCTCTTCTCTTCAACTTTTGTATAGTACTTATTAATGCTAAAACTTAAAATATTTTTGACTTTGTAGGAGTTAATTATTTAGGAATCGAATAGTACCGAAGAACTATATCGAACCGTAACGAACCGTACCGAAAATAAGTACGGAATGGGACAAGTTCTTTATATATTCGGGACAGTACCGGTTCTTTGATTTATAAAAGAATCTCACTTTGGGACAGGACATGTTTTTTGAAATAACTGTCCCGTACCGTCCCATGCTCACCCCTACTAACAACCACTCCTCCTGGCCCCCATGAATCCTTCACATAAAATACAAGGACACATTGAGGGGTTGCTCCCCGCTTAAATTTCTAGGTAATAAAGCATCGTAGCCAACTCAAATGATTAACTTAGAACTCGGTAACTAGTTGGATTTAAACACATGTTGGATTTACCTATAAGGCATTCTTTAATAAAAGTCTTAGTGACACTGGATTTAATGAGGACCATTTATGGTTTTCACGAAAAGTTTCCATTAGTTAGATGATTCACAAGCTCTTCTATTCATTAATGTGGGAACAATGAAACACTTATATATGTTTATGTCTTCACATGTGTCAGACCAAAGTCTCATGGGCTCTGCTCAGATTCAAAATCCGATGCTATGGGGCGTGTCAAAGCATTAGTACATGAAGTCACACATTTGAATTTATGTTTATAGTTTTTTGACCAATGTTTACTGTTCTTACCCTATTGTATAGTGTGGTATCTTTTTTCCGAATGAACACGTAAATATATAATAACACCCAATAAAATTAAAATACATAGTTTTAGAATGGCGTTCTCTAATATGAATGCTTCATTGCCATGATACAAGACAAAAAACACTGACATTACCGAAAATATGCTTTACAAAATCTTATAATTAAAAATCTGTTTGACTTTAGAGACTGATTATGTATTTGTATTGACAGTAATATCAAATATAGATGCATTCCTAGTCCTCCAAATCTGATAAGTAGTGCAATAAATAACAATTTAGATGCCCTTTGATTGTACGAGTGCGCCTTTGTAAGCCTTCTTGATACACTTCGCCCACATGGAAATGATGTCATGTAATGGTGGGTGTTCAACCACGTCTTAATCTCCCTCCAAATCCTCAAGTAAATGGGCACAATAATGAAAGATGTGCTACCATCTCTGGAGCTACAAAACACACGAGAGTTAAACATATTCACTTAATCTAGATTATCATAAATAAAGAGTCTATTCTTAAAGACCAACCAAGTACATAGTGAAAGTAATGTTGGGAGGGATATAGACTTTCTAAATGAATTTCATGTGAGTTTTCATAGAGACATTGTCTTAAGAAGGTCATACACCCTAGAGGTCTATTGAAACACATATTCATCGAGGACTGAATGGTTTCGACTCTCCCATTGAAATAGAGACGAATCTAGCTAGTCTTTTTATGAGGACCAATCTATTCATCAACTTGAAGTTTCTAGGATGGGGAAACACGTCTGTTGAGTATGTTGTTTTGTTGATGACTAACCATGCAGGTGGAACGACGGACAGAACTGCTCTTAGTTCTATCAGGAACGGAAATTAGAACTATACTTAGTTATGTTCTATGTGACTGATTGTCGTGCATAATGAATAAATTAATTGATATGTGCCTGCATGATAATACCTTATCTACGTGCCTAGATTGATCATGCATATTCTTAATGTATGTGGCACAATTTAAATATCTTTTCATGCATGACTAAGCACTCACCTTAATGAGTTGGCCTATATAGCTTTATAGCTTTTGGAAAGAATCATTGCTTATGCTACATAAATATCCTGCAGCAATTGACCGTAGCATATTTGGATCCACTAAGTAAATATTTCCTTATCACTTAATGTTGAAAAGTCATTATTAGTTAAAATATTAAATGAATATTTTTGGAAAGTATCTTGGCTTGCATGATCTGTAGCACCTTATTTGAATATCTTACTTATATGATCGTTGCATATTCAAATTTGTTAAGATAAACTAATCATTGATTGCATAAATATTTTATTGCTACATAATGTCCGTTGCATGCTTATATTAAGAGAATAAATTATTTCCCTTTATATGTGATGATATATATTCATTGAATATTTATATACGTAATATATTGTAGCACCGTCCCCAAGCATATTTACTTTTGGTAAATTATGTAATAAACCTTGAAGGATGATTTATGAATTTGCGTGGTTGTAAATTTTTATTATTTCTTTTACGTGAATAGTAAATTGCATGTGGGGCCCACGCCCGGACCGGGAGGCCGCCCGATAATTCCTGAACCCCATATTATATTCATCTTGGTCTAGATGACATCTATATGGTGATGGATATCCTATTTGGGCCATAAGAAAGGCATGGAGTTGACCGGTCGGTCAAACGG